AAAAACCCATAACAACCACAAAAGATGGAGAAAGAGGGGTGATGGATAACACTAGGCTTCTGAATTTGAATTTGATGGTGGTTTGAGTCCAAGACTATGGTTTGCTTTCTCCTTGGCCTAAAAAGAATTTCCCAGGAGGTAAAATGGTGTCATGAAAACCTCAGCCATAGAGGTCCCCCCAACTAACTGCTGTTTTGAAGGCAGAATAAGCATTTGAGTGCTACTGGAAGAGAACAGTTCTGTATGCCTCATATGGACAAAGTTTACTGATTCAGTTGAGAGGTAGGTAATAGAAAATACAGCTCATTTCTTGTCATACTTTAATGGGCCACAGATAAAGACAGTATCTGGTTCAGGGCAACAAATTCTGGAGTCACACGTATGGCCTGAGAGCAAAGCCAAAGAAAGCCCACTGCATTCAGTATTCCTGACCTGCTACTGGGGTTTCTGACCTTAAGACTACAGGCACAGTCCTGGTTGATGCTGACAGCAACTAAGAAACTGGTTGAACAGAGGGGTGTGAATTCAAAGGCATCTTAATGTTGTGCCTCCTTAGCTCTTTGTCCTCATCTCTTGCTTTGAGTTGTCATAGTAGCTGAGCAAGGCCCCAATGAAGAAATAATAGGAATAGCTTTAGTTGAGGTAAACAGAAAAGAAACGAACACCAAGGGAGGTCGAACCAGCACCTTCTCAGCCCCAGCCTGGGCTAGGACTACATCCATTTCTCTAGCTGTACCTCATTGTTACTGAACCAGCCAGACCAGAACTCAACTGCATGACTTCCAACTTCATAATGAGGAATCTGGGCTTCATAAAATTGGGGTGATCTTCTCATGGTTCCCCAGTTTTAACAAATATATTTTGGGCTTCAGGAGAAGGCTTGGGCTAAAGTCCTTCTTGTGGATAAATTAACAATGGGCACTGAGCATGGCCAAGGCAGTGAGAGCAAAATACTATTGGAGATAGCCTTTAATTCCTCCACTTTGGCCTGTGGCTGAATACTGCCATGGCCCAGTTGGGTCTAGAGGCAGAGGCCTGGCTGAAGTAGAGAAGGGTAGAGAGAGGAAGCATTCTTTCTGCACTGGTGGGGCTGTACTGGATTGAGTTCTCACAGGTGAAAAGTTAATTGACTGGTCAGTTGTCCCCTGTAGCCTCCGGTCAACCTTCTAGAGAAAAATGTGCAGTCTTGTCCAAGAAAGGTGTTGCCTCATTTTTCTCCATGGAAGCTTCTCAGGTCTCTGCTGAATATAGCCCCACATGCATGATGAACACATTGCCAAACATGGAGAAACATCCCTTGGGGTGTAGCACAAAAGGAAATGAATAATTACAGAACCTGGACTCCATTTGCTTCTTTTCTCCCTTAGCAGGGACCAAGAAGATAAAGGCACATTTCATCTGTCCATGTATACTGTCCCAAATGGTACTAAACCATGGGCACATATCATCCTACACTTTAAATAGGATCAAGGAACTGAATTTTAAGGTTAGTTTAGATTTTAAAATGGAGATAATGAAAAACATATTTACTTGTTGCATATTATTTTTGTCTGTGTGTGTATGTGTGCGCATGTGCACGCCTCAGTGTGTGTGTGTGTGTGTGTGTGTGTGTGTGTGTGTGTGTGCGCGTGTGTGAGATGTATGTGGTGTGAATGTACCCACTGGTGTCATGTATGTGTACATGTGTGTGAAAGGATATACTTATGTGGGTTTGTTTAATGTAGAGGCTGGAGGTTGATGTTGGTGTTTTCCTCAATCACGATTAATTTTATTTATTTTTTTGAGGCAGGGTCTCTTTAGAATCTGAAGTTTCTAGATTCAGTAAGTTTAGTTGGACATTGCGCCTCAGGAACCTATCTAACTCTGCCTCTTGCTGCTGAGATTATGGGGGTGAGCTCCTCCAAACAGGTTGTTATCCCAGTTCCAGGGATACAAATTCAAGTTCTTATGCTTGCATGGCAGGATCTTTACTGACTAAGCCATCTTTCCTGCCCTCAAATTTCATCACTTTAATATTATTTCCATTCTAACTGTTTAAAACATAGCATCTGAACTGAGACACACTCCAAATGTAAAAAAAAATCAGATGTCAGACAGTATAAAAACAAGTATGTGAAATATCTTCCGTTTAATACTTCTGTAAAATATTGATTACTTATTAAATGGTATTTGGAGCATGTTAGATGAAATAAGTTACATTATTCAAATTAATTTCAAGTTTCTTTTATTTTCATAATGGAACTTCAAAATTTAGAAATTATATCCACCAATCAAATTATATTTCTATTGAACAGTGACGCTCAAAGCTTTTAAAAAGCCATTTGCAGAGGGTTATTTTGTTCCTTAGGGGACATCTGAGAATGTCTGGATATATTAGGTTGTGACAATTGGGTTGACATGTTAATGGCATCTCATGGGTAGAGAATAGGGATTCTCTAAACATTCCACAGTATGCATTTGGACTGCAGCCACTGAGAACAATCCAGGCCCAGATGTCAACCCTACCAAGGTCAGAAGCCTTGGTCTAGAGCAGGATTCCTTGAAGGGAAGCCTAGTGGTTCAAGGACACCTGAAGCATTAGCTGGGCAGAGACACTCAAGCACTGATAACAGTTCTTTTTATTAACCCTGGTAGTGGGCATGATTAATCCTATTTCTCCACGTGAGGAGCTCAAGCTCAACAATGAGTAGTTACTTGGATTACCAGACCAGAAATCGGCAGAGTTGAGAGCTGAAATCATCCTCCACTCATCACCAAGGTTAGGCCATCCATGCTACATCACATGGCTATGCATAGCTCCATTCTGGAGCAGCTATGAAAACAACCTGAACTTATAGCCCAATATCCCCATCACTCAGCCCCAGGCAGTTATTATTTACATCAGCTATTATTGCCACCAGGGAATGAGCATTAACAAAAGCACCCATTGAAAGGGACAGCCTGCTCTGAGAAAAAAAACCTCACAGGCACCTCACCCATCAAACGAAGCTGGGAAATGGGTGGGAATAAATGTAATACAATAAAATAAACCTGTCAGAGGAGGAACATTCAGATGCCTCAAAAGGCGAGAGGTAAGAACAAATGTGCCCGATATGGGATTGGCTCTGTTTAAAGAAAACATCATCTCACTGTTTGACTCGAATAGAGCCCAGAGAACAATGGTCAGCATAAATGGAATTGCTTATACACATTCCAGGGAGGCACTGTTTGTCCATAAATCCAGTTTGGGGACAGTGGCGAGAGTCACTTTCCTCTCATTGTCTTTCTGCATGGTCTCATGTGTCTATCTGTGACTTTTGCTTCTCTTGAGGAAGGGTGAGTCTGGTGGGCTTGTTTGAGAGAAGGATGGGAACTGATATTTTATGAAGACCTACTATGTGCTGCCAGTATGTAGGGCATCCCTTGAGGTTATTAATATGACAGTGTGAAATAAACATTATACTTGGCTTCCCAGGTAAAAATAAGCCTATCCAGTAAGTTAAGTTTCTATAATCAAGGGTTGGCTAAGATGAGAGACAGACACATTGAAACATGGTTATTTATATGGAAATACAAATAGCAGGGCCAACACAGGGTCACAGGGGATGCTACTGCGGCTCTGCCTAAATCTCCTTTATTTGATTGGTATATTTACTCCCCAGCTTTTGTAGGCACTGGCTGTAAATGGCTCTGAGACATCTACTCTAGAGAAGATATCAATTTCTCTAGAAGGCTGTGCACACTCATGACAACCCATGGTGATTAACACATGGGGCCAACCTATGGAACAACCATATTCTCGAGACACCCCAGCCCCCAGGCATGTTTAATACAAGCCACACATTGTCCTTTGTCCTGTCCTGTCCTGTCCTGTCCTGTCCTGTATCTATCTCCTTTATGTCTGAGCATATCTCTCAATGGATAATTTGCACCAGAATCCCCTTCTTCACAGGGTCAAGTGATGCATTTGAGTTTGGGAAGGGCATGGAACAGATGAAAGGGTTCATGTTATCCTTGCCTCCTACATGTGATTTCCCAACACTATTAACAGACCAGTCAGTGATTGGGACAGGCAAGAACTTTGATAAAGTCTGTGGGTAAATATGTGAAATCTCTCAAGCTTTCCATTGGTCAGAAGGGGACTCAAGGAAGGAGAGGCGTGGTTAGCAGGTTATCTGTGTTTTCCATGTTCTGAATAGGCATTGGATTTTGATGGATGGGCTCTATATCTTTTGAATAATAGCGTCTAATTATGTGATATGAACTCTCCTAATGCTGTGTTTGAGGGAAAAGACTGTCATTTACAGCAAACAAATACTTACACTAGGTTGGGCAGGTCTATTCCAGCTTCTTTGACATTTATTATCTTGTTTAGTCTTAAACTGCAATTTCAGAGGAATCTGAATATGTAGAGTTCATAATGCTAACAGTGTCCCAAAAGAGGCAAGTATTATTACTCCTTCTTAACAGAAAGGAAATGTGGGGCCAGTCACATCTAAAGACTGTACCAGGACCAATGGTAGAGCTGAGGTTGTGGTCAAACCTACTCATTCCTTAAGAATGGCCTGTTAGGTCAACTCTCTCCCACCCTTGGATGACAACTCAGTTACCATTTCTCCTGTGATTGACTTCCTTAGTCCCAGGTGTGTGTGTGTGTGTGTCACACGCACCTCTCCTTAGCATTAGTGAGAATTGCACCTTTATTTTTGTAGTCTTTTTATCAATTAGCTAAGGTATCAGAACTTGTCATTTTTACCTGTTATTGTCTTCCTCAATACTTAGAACAATGCCTGGTACATAGTATGTAGAATGGGTGGATGGGTGAATGAACAGAGGGATGCGTGAAAAAGTAGGTGGAGAGAATGGTGGTAAGATGGATGAGTGGGTGGGTGGCAGGCAGCTGGGTGGGAGGATGTGGTGAAGGAACTGTCGGTTCATCTCTGGTGCACTTGGCCTGGAGAACCCACAGAGCATGAGCCATGGACCATTCCCTCCCTCCTGCCCAGGGCTCTGGTGATCACCTGTGGTGAGGAGGCAGAGTGGAGTCCCCGGGGTCACCTGGGCGCTGCCCATTGGTGCTGACCACAAGGAAGCCAATCCCCAGGCAGCATGCAGAAGAGAAGGAGAGAAAGAAACACACATGAACACATGTGGTACAATGAGCAAGACTGCAATTCTTCTGTCTCTAAAGAACTTGTACTAAACAACAAAAGAACATCATGATTTACCAAAACAGGGGTCCGAAATAGATTTTTTTAAATGATACAAGAGTAAGAGTCACCATTTATCAAGCAAGCACAACATTTCAGGTACTCTATCAAGTACTTCATGTTCAGTATTCCTAAGAAATAGGATAATTAGAAAAGTCAGTGGTATTACAAATGAACCTGTTACTTCTCCAGCCAAAATGCATCACCCTAAGTCTTTCTAGTCTTTGTAAATAGTGCCACTACTCACACAGTATTTCTGTATAGAAACCTGGATCACTACCTTCACCCCTATTAGTAAGGGTGTCTACCTTCTATTCTTATTTTATGTGACTTCCCATTTATAACTCGTCATCAGCTCTTATTGAATCTACTTTAGAAAAATTCTTCAAGATGCCCTCTTCTCGCCAAGTTAATTCCCATGTTCCCCAGCCATCCTTACATTGCATTTGGAATATTTAAACAGTCTTATATGGATTCACTGCTTCTGGTCTTTCTCCCCTCCTACTGAGTCTCTACTGAGTGAAACATATTATCATCCTCACTGTCTTCAAAGGTAAATATCAACCCTCTTGACACAGCTCTCAGAACATCAGCAACGAGTTCCCAGCTTTCCTTGCCATACTAATTCCTCTCCCCTCCTATCACCTTATTCTCTGCTCAGCTGCCTGCATTCCTATGATGAACAGCCCCTGCTACCTTGTCCCTAGACCATGCCTGGGCTAGTCATTCATATGGCATGTATTCCCTCTTGCTTCTTCCTCTGGAAGACAAATGCTAACCCTTTAGTAATTGGCTTGGATCTCCCCTCAAGGGTCTTGCATTTAGAGCGATGTGTCTCCCTTGTTTTCCCATAACATCCTGATATTCCCTTCTCATTGCAGCAACCTCCCTCTATTATGAGTGGATGCTTTCTCCTTAACTGTAGTCTCCTTGAAGGTAGATGCTGTATCTCATTGATTAATATGTTTCTGTGGCCCTCTATCGCACCTGGCACATAGTAAGTACTCAGTGAATATTTGTTGAGTAAATAACTGAATTTATGAAGAAATGGTGACTTAGAAATCTTACAACTTTGTCAAGGTCACAAAAACAGTAACTAGCAGAGGCTATATTCAAAGCCTGGTTTGCCCAGTTTTAATGCCCCTGTCTCTCCAATTGTCTAAAGAAAATGACACAAAAATCCCATCATGAGGTACACCCTCAGTCACAGACTAAGATGTTCCCTATTCACTTATCAGCAAAACTGTACAAGATCTTTATTCAAAATGGTGAGAGTGATAGATTATCCCAGACCAAATGATATACAAAAAATACATTATTTACAAAATGATACAAGAAGGAAGTTTGACCAATGAATGGTCAATTGACAACTGTAAAGGCTAACCACCTATGCACAGTGATAATAGCATCATTCTGAAAGACATGTGAAGTTTTGTCCTTTCCAAAGTACTTTCTAAGTCAGTGGTGAGTTTGCGAGCCAACTCTGGTATCTATGCTATTTCCTATATGGGTATATGGTAAGAATGGTTCTTAGGTTTTTCAGTGGTTCAGTGATGGAGGATGTTTTGTATATATGTTTCTCTTACTGGTTGATGAATAAAACACTAATTGTCCAGTAGCCATGCAGGAAGTATAGGCGGGGCTACCAGATGAGGAGAATTCTGGGGAGAGGATGCAAACAGAAGCTACTAAGGAGACACCATGTAGCTATTGGGAAGATAGGATGCACTGGGCATTCTCCAGTAGAATAAGGCCATGTGGAAATACATAGTTTAATAGTTATGGGTTAATAACTAAGAGAGAGCTAGCCAGTAAGAAGCCTAAGCCATTGGCCAAACAGTTTGTAATTAATATGTTTCTCTGTGTTTATTTGGAGTTAAACAGCTGTGGAACTAGGCAAGACAAAAACTCTATAGTTCAGGAAAAATATGACTAATATTTTGCACTATGCTGTTCTTATTAGCTTTAACTGTCAACTTGGCATAACCTGGAGTTAACTGAGAAGGGAGTCTGAGTTGAGCATTTGTTCTGATCAGAACAGCCTATGGGCATGTCTGTGAGGGTTGTCTTGATTGTTACAGATGAAGGAGGGCTCAACACTCTGTGGGCAGCATCATTTCCTAGGCAGGTGGTGCTGGACTGTATCCAAACGCCAACTAAGCATGAACCTGTGAGCCTGTTAGCAAGCAGTGTTCTTCCATGGTTTCTACTTCAAGGTCCCACTTTGACTTTCCACAATGATGAACTATAACCTCTAAGTTGAAACAAACTCCTGCCCCTACTTGCTTTTGTCCATAGTGTTTTATCACAGCAAATAGATGAAACTACAACATATATGAAAATTTCATACATTCAAATCTTTCATTCCCAGGGTTTTATTTTCATACAAATGTCCTCCTATGCATCTCTACAATTGCTTTTGTGCTTTGATGACAAAGTTTATAGGTAGGAGAAAGAACTTGAGGCCTACAAATTGAAAATATTCATTACCTTGTCTTTTATAGGAAAATCTGCTAACCATTGTTTTAAGTGACTATTTTCTATTAGTCTATTTTCCTCCCAGCTCTATGAGGCAGGTAAGACAAGGTGCTGCTGACCTCACATGTCAGAAAAAGAAACAAAAGGCTGGAGGAAGACAAGATTCATATTTCTACATGACCTGCTTCTGTGGTTTCTTGACTGTCCTTTCTGTAGCCTGGTTCCTGCTTCAGTTCATCTCCAGTCACTGTGGAGGCTACAGCTAGGGTACCCTGCTGAGAAAGGAGTTAGCTTAAGCACTCCCAGCCAGGACTCTCACTGGAGAGAGATAATGGATGAGATGGGGGAGGGGGAGTGAGAAGGAGGGGGAGTGAGGAATGGGAGAGGAGGAGAGGGAGAGAGAACCCTCATGGGGCTATATTTAGTGCTGCATGGCTTTACATGGCACTTCTGATTCTCTTTTTAAATATTTCTTTTTATTATTTTTATTACATGTTTATATGGGGAGTATGTGTGTATCAGTGCAGGTATGTTGGAGGCCAGAGGCATCAGACCACTTAGGCTCTGAAGTTGAAAGCAGTTGTGAGTGACATGATGTAGGTGCTGGGACTCAGTAAGAGAACAATGGTCTTGTTTAACTGCTGAGGCATCTTTCCAACCCTAGTAGGTTTTCACCTCAGGATGACTCCTAACTACCTCAATTACAATGTATGGTGACTATCCTTCCTTTGATGATTTGCACATCTACTTCTTTGACTTGAAAACCTTCATTCCAACCCTTATATCATCCTCTGTGATCATATTCACTCTTGTTTCAAAGCTTGGCTTTGTATCTATACACTCTGAGAAAGCCTGTACTATGGTTTTTTTGTTTGTTTTGAATTCGCCTCCTTGTTCCAATGAAATTCCAGGCAAATATTCATCTTAGCCTTCTTACACTATATTGGTATATGTGTTAGCTCTTCCTGTGTCTACCATTTGCTGGGTATTTATTGTAAGTCAGGTACTGCCCAGAGCACTTGGTATGCACTACTTTGGTAGGTTCTTATATTAGGTCAGGGAAATAAGTGGCATTGCTCCTGTCAGTCTGTGGATGCTGGATTGAGATTCAGAGCAGAAAGTACCTTTGCTGGCCTAATACTGTGTAAACCCAAAGATGAACATCGCAACCTCCAGAGAATAAGAATCAATATGAAATTTTACTTAATAAACAAATAATAAAAGCTAACTGGATACATAAAACTCTGGCTCAGTATTTTTTCATTTACCAGGCATGTCACTTGGAAAAATGGCATATACTTCTAAGTCAGGCTCTCTTTGCAAAATGTAAAGGTAATGATTTTAAGGCAAACAGCACAAGTCTTAGTTTAGCTGGAAGAGCCTGGAGGAGGCCCTCTCATTTTACCTTTCAGGGGTAAAACTCTGGGGCAATGCTCAGCTAGGAAGTATAAGAACATGGGAATGGACAGGTGCTCTTTTAGTGAGTGGAGAAGCAGAGGTAAGGTGTGGATTATGAATCTTAGTAGAGCATAGAAATGGAAATGGGAGTACATGCCATACAAGGAACTGGAAATAATACTGTCCACCAGGGCCATTTTCCTTCTGTGATGTATAGAAGAGGCCAAGCCACCTTCAAGTTAGGCTATATCATGTACCAAGGACATGGAGTGGAAACATTAGTCATGTCTAAGTGAGATATTTAGTCTACTGAGATTTTGTTACAAATTGTTATTGCAGCAAAGCCTGCCCGATCCTGACTAATACAATTGAAGAAGAGGTGGAAATGTCTTCTTTCTCCTGCATCATCTGCTTCTTTAAAAACTGGAGTGTTTGTGACTCATATTGATTTGCATTGGATATGCTTGGTATGTTACTTACACAACCAACCATGAATGAAAATTTGAGACCCTGTAAAGAAAAAAGACTCCAGAACTTTTTTCTATTCCAAAGCAATGAATGTCGAGTATTGAAAGATAATACTGGGATATAGCTGACCCTGGAGAAGACAATCTTGAAGAAAAACTATTTATTTAGTGAAAGTAAGGAAGTAAAAAGAGCTGAGAGTTCCTTGAGTCACCTCATTTCTATTACAGTTTTTCAGATCTTAAATACCTGTGAAGAGATACAAAGCCAAGATGAAAATAAACTTATCACTCATTAGTGGGGAAGGGGTATGAAGAAGGGTTAACAAATAGAAGACAAGCAATCCTACTGGTGGTCTATGGAATATCTTAGCCAATCTATGACAGGAAAAAAATCAATAGTGATAGGGAGTCAGCTCTAAGAAGCATTCCTGGAGACCTGAAGGTTTTTATACTTCTGAGCTTATATGGGTTGATTTCTTGAGTGGAAATAACAAAATAGCCAACATTTATTTAGCACCTGATGAG